GACACTCATGCCCTGAGAGAACAGGTAACAAGAACCAGAAGCTTGGGTCAACAGTCTAGGTGTACAAAAAGGTAAAACTAGCCCCAAGAATCCTTGGTATCAGTTACGATGGAGTAGGAACAGAAACAATGTCATAGATATTGAGCTAAATTGTTTCAAGGTTAGAGCTCCATCATCATTCATTAGGGCTACAATTAAGATTAGTGTTCAGATCAAAGATGGGATATAGCTCAGTTGGTAGAGTGCTTGCCTCACATGCACAAGGCCATGGGTTTAATCCCCAGCAAAACACACACACACACACACACACCAAAAAAAAAAAAAAAAAAAGAGAAAAGAACTTCTGGGCTTGGTGGTAAATACCTGCAGTAGTTTGGGAGGCTGAGGAGGGAAGATAACTTGAGCCCAGGGATTGGAGACCAGTTCGTCAAACAGTGAAACCTGGTCACTACCACAAGAACAACAAAAAGATGGGAAAAGGAAGAGTGCCCAAGTATGGTGTGAACCAACAGAATTTCCCTTCACTCACATAAGTAGTAAATGATATAACGGTCCTTTTGAGTATATGTGAACGAACATTACAATATCAAGCAATTTAACATTTATTCTTGGGCTTGCTTTTTTTTAAATTAAAAAAATATATTTTGTTTTAGCTGTAGTTGGACACAACACCTTTATTTTATTTTTATGTGGTGCTGAGGATCGAACCCAGCACCCTGCACGTGCTAGATGAGAGCTCTATTACTGAGCCACAACCCCAGTCCTTGGGCTTGCTTTTTAGTTTTCTTCAAAGCCAGTTGATGAATAGTTTTAAAAAGCAAATTGTTTAATTAAGACTCCCCGAAAGGTTATTAGTCACTAGTGAAAGCATCAGGTAAAGTACTTAAGTGTTCACATAGACATAAATGAGAATTTACTGATTGTTAAAATGAACTTTAGAGTTGTTCTTATTGGATTTCATCATTCCCCTGGTTAAGGATTTTTCCTTTTCGGGTTTTATTCTGAAGCTAACAATATACAGCTAAATTCTTTAAATTTTTTTTTTTTTTTAGTTGTTGATGGACCTTTATTTTATTTATTTATGTATTTATATGTGGTGCTAGGAGAGTGTTCTACCACTGAGCCACAACCCTAGCTCCAATACACAGCTAAATTCCTAAGATGGTATGAACCATATCCTCTTTGCCTGTCTTCCCAATCTCTGTTCCTCCTATTTTCCCCTGTCCCACTGGGTTCCAGTTGTCCCTTTTTAGGTGATGCTAGACTTTTTCCTAGGTCAGGGTGGTTGCACATGTTCTTCTTTGACTGGAAGTTGTTTTCACTCTTTTCCTGGGTAACTTCTCTTCATCTTTTAGGTCTCAGTTTAAATGTCATATATTCAAAGATCTCTACACTCATTTATGTTTCCTTTGTAATTCTCTTAGCAACTTTTTTCTCTTTACTGTAACTGCATTTATGTATTTGTGCTTTTAAACTGTTTAAAGATTGCCTCTCTGATTAGAATGTGACCTCTACCACATATGGAGACATTATGGTTTTATTCATGACTGAAGCTGGGGAAGTGGAAAATGACAGAAGCAGGTAAATTTATTACAAATACATTCAAAGATTTAAAGAATAACAGTTTAAAGACTATTTAGTGGAGGGCAAAGTGTTAGTGTATGGCTAACACTAAATGGCTCCTGATGCTAAGACTATAATGCATATCCTCTTACAGATAAATTAAGAAACTAGGATATGCAGAAATTAGAGCCCTCATACATTGCTAATAGAAATGCAAAATGGGTATGGCCACTTTGGAAAAATATAAGTTCCTCAAAAAGTTAAACATGACGGGGCTGGAAATGTAGCTTGGTGGTAGAATGCTTGTTTATTTAGCATATGGAAGGGCAGTTGGTTCAATCCCAGAACCACAGGGGGGAAAAAAATTAAACAAACATGGAACATGATTCAGCAATTTCACGCCTAAGTCTACAGAAATGAAAACACCTTCAGGTGGATATATAGTTGCAATATTCATAATAGCCTCAAAATAGAAACCCAAGTGTCTACCAAATAATGGTGGTATATCCATACAAAGGGATATTTGACCATAAGAAGAACTGAAGTACACACTATTTTATAGATGAATCCAGATGATACACTAAGGGAAAGATGCAAGACACAAAAGGCCATAAATGATATAATTCATATGGAAAACAGATTAGTGGCTGCCTAGGTCTGGTGAAGTTGTGGTGAGTGTAACAGGTACAATATATCTTTTTTGGAGTGATAATAAAATGTCCTAAATTTAGATTGTGGTTAACAGTTGAATGTCTGAATATACTAAAAAACTCCACTGAACTGTATAATCTAAATGGGCAAATTTTAAGATATAAATTACAGCTAAACAAAAAGGTTAATAAAGTTAGCTGATGATAAGTGTGGTGGTACAAGTCTGTAATCCCAGACTTGGGAGGCTGAGGCAGGAGGACCACAAATGTGAGGCCAACTTGGTCAATTTAGCAAGATCCTGTCTTAAAAGATTCGTTATTCGTGGTACTTATGATATAAAAATCACTGAAGACACTGAAATACTCAACCATTGCTCCCAGGAGAAACATGGAATTAGGTTCATGGGAACTTCTGGTCACACTTTCATCAATCTATCAACATATAACCTTGTTTTATGTGTTTCTATTTAGAGATCTTGTTTAGTAGTGTTAATAACATTCAACTCACAGCTAATAGCATTGTAACTCAGGACTGACCAAAGGATCTAAAACATATTCTATATTTTTTTCTGTAACGTAACTTTCGACCTCAATACCACTCCTGAGGTCTATTTTAAAGTAAAATCAACAACAAAAAGTCCAAAAATGTGTTACTATATGCACTTCTTTACAGTATGAGAGCTGAAACAAGGCAAAGTGTCACCCACCTCATTTGACCTTGGCTGGGAACCTGTGCTTTGGGTAATTTTTTTTTTTTTTCTGTTCTGTGCATATAGTATTGTGAGTATTGTGGGGTTACAAATTAAATTTTCACAAGAGGGGAATTCAAAAGCAGGCTCTGAAAAGAGAGGATCAAATGTAGTTTAGTTTTCCTACTACTTATAAAAAAGGTTTTGAATTTTAAAGTCTAACCTTCAATTTCTTCATGATGCTGGATGGATAAAATATAATATTTGGGGTGCATGTTTTAGAAGTTGCTACCAGAAAAAGTCCTCATTTTATTATCCTTAGTTTTAGTTCTTTGGTATTTTTGAATAACTGTTTCATGCTACTGATTCCTGGGCTGAGCCAGTCCAAAGATAAAATGTTTACTTTTCATTAACAAAGATTTATTCTGAACTTTTCATCACAATTGCATTCCCTCTTTCCCCCAGAAAGAATATTTTGCCACCACCAGATATAATGAAAACATGTTTTAATTTTCAAACAAAAAGAAATGTAGTTATGTTCATATACACAATCTGTACTGCTTCCCAGGTATTTTTAAACATGTTTTTACACCCTAGCTATTGATAGTTTTAACTTTTAATATTTTTGTGATGCTGGGCATCAAACCCAGGCCCCTCTTTGTGCTAGCAAGTGTTCTACCACTGAACTGTACTCTCCAGCCCTAGACTCAAAATTTTGCAGAATTTGCTTCCAAAGTATTTTCTGCACTTTAATTTTAAAATGGCTTTAATGTCTCAAATCCTCTTAACAGAATTCATCAGTTCTTGCTTATAGCTCCTTATAAGAGCCTTTGCTAAATTTAGAAATTTAGAGATAAATTCACTTTAGAGTTACAAGTAACATAATTTTGGCAGGGGGAGTAAAGTCATAAATATCAAATGACTACCACATATCCACATTTCTGAATTTGAATAAGCTTAATCAAACGTCAGAATTTGGCTATAAAACGGTACTTTTTGGATTAGTATTTATACCCCTTTCTTGGTAATCAGTGGTTTTGTTTCTTTAAAAAACTATTCTTTGATTGCAATAGGCAAAAACCACTTGGAATTGGCCCATTAGTTTTGAATCTCCAAATTTGAATCTCTTAATTAAAACAGCAGGGCTTGATAGATACCCTTTTATTCATCAGTTTGAGAACCTAAAGCTCTAAGATATTGCAGGGTATTTTAGCTTCTTTGATCTCTCATAATAACTTGAATATAATAGACTTTTTAGGTCTTTCTTTTGTCATTCTATCCCGAATGCCAAATACTCATTTAATTGGCTCTTACTGCCCAGAAACCAATCCAATTAATTTTCTATGCCAATCCCAGAAGTTTTGAAGTTTCATCATTAAATACTACTATTCTCCTGCATGTGGGGACAACTCCTATTTTTAAAAAAATTTTTTACTGCCCACAATAGGTTTAATCTCCCCCTTATTTGGGAGTAGCAACAACATTAAGGACTGGTGGCAAATTAACCGGGGCCTAGAACTATCAAAATGATAGCCCTCTCCACTGCTATTCATAATCAATAAGTCTGTTTGCCAGGATTTCTTATATTATTTTGATTAGCCAAAGTATAGAGATTTATATTCATTCTCTTGCTGGCTTTTAAAGTCGACATAATTTATAATATTACATGAATAGGTGAATAAAACTGACCAAATAATGCTACATGCATGTAGAAATATATCACAATGAATTCCACTTTTATATAAAATTATAAAGCACCAATGGAAAAAAATACATAAAGAAATGGAAGGAATGGCAAAGAGTAGAAGAGAGGGGAAAAAGGAAGTACTGGGAATATATTAGGGCAAATTATGCATATATATGAATACTATATTTAATTATATTGCAATAGGGACATAAAAAAGTTATATAAACCGCCGGGAAAGATTAGTAATCAACCTCTATTGTCAACAATAAGAAATTATGATAAAGTTTTAAACAGTATAGTCATTCTTACATTGTGGCTAAGAGAAAAGCATATATGAAAAATAAGAACACACTGAGAAGCTTAATCATTTTTAAACATGAGAGGACAAACCAGAAAAATTTCAAATTCAGATAGATTTTCAAAGTTTTTATTTATATTTTGGTCTTGTAAATGGTCATTTTTAAATGGAACTTTTCAGTAAGAATGTAAAACACAAAAATTTGCTAAATATCGGATCTACACAAATCCTCAGAAAGGTTTTTTGTGTAGTCTTCATTAATACAAATCTTTGTGAATGTTTCACTCTCACTGCAGCTCTTGAATGTTTTACAATAATTAGGCTATCAAGTTTTTAAGCAGTACATTCATTACAAACTATAACTTTTCCATTAAAAAGAAAATAGGGTAATACACAAATATGAGAGGCTATGAGGATCAGGCGGTTGAGGCTTGGCATGTCTTATTTGCTTTGTAGTTTTCTGTTATTACTTTCAAAATAGCACACAGCACATGAGGCATAGCAATCATCTCTTATTAACCTCTCTAATTTAAAAATGGGTTGTACATAAACCAGACCAATTATCACAAACTATCATTTGCATAATTAACCAGAAGCCTATTACAAAGCATTTTGTTAGTGGTATAACAAATGCAGGAGGACAGAAATTTATTAAAAAAAAAACCAAAAAACAAAAAACGGGGTTTGTGAAGCTTGCCAACTCCTTAGCTATCAAGAGCTGTGCTGCCACTTCAACTTCTAATTAGATGTTTAATGCCTCACTATAAGAGACTGAGCAAAACTATTTTCTAGGTGCTGTAATATTTCATTTGACAAGGTAACAAAATAGGCCAAAACTAAAGCAACATTTATATGCGTTCCAACTTTTCACTCAGGAATTCTTCTACACTGTCTGTGTTCCATTTGAGGATGCTTAGTTCTTCAGCAATGTTCCCATTGTCGTCCAAAAGCTTTAGTACAGGGTCTGAACCACGAACATACTACAAAACAGAAGAACATTATCATTATTTTCTCCTTAAAAAGAGCCTTCTAAGCCTCAACCACGATCAAAGCAGCTTAATTAAAATAGCAATTAAAAAAAGCTTTTAGAAATAACATCACAATCAACAGATCTTAAAGACGTCTTTAAAAAGAATTAAATATAATTTCACAGAAAATGAGAATTTAAAAAATTTACATTTTAATTCTCAAGAGAAAAATGTCTGTTAGTATCAAGACCCCAATGGTACTGAGGATTAAACCCAGGGGTACTCTACCACTGAGCTACATTCCCAGTCTTTTTTTTGTTTTCTTCCCCCAAAGAGAGGGCAACTAGGTGCATTTTATTTTTATGCAGTGCTGAGGATTGAATCCAGGCTTAACATGTGCTAGGCATTTGCTTGTTAAGTTGTCACGTATGGGCCTTGAACTAGTGATACTCCTACCTCAGCCTACTGAGTTACTGAGATTTCAGGTGTGTGCCATCATGCTAGGCAAGACAGTTTTATTATTATTAAATGAAACAAATGTTTCTTGCATACAGGACTCTTAAACTCAAATAAGCTAATATTTAATGGTGGAGGCAAGTAAATTCAAAATAATTAGAGACAGAATGCTTTTATAAGAGCAATGCTTTTGAGATAGGGATTTAGCTCAGTGGTAGAATGCTTGCAGAGAGGCCCAGAATTTTATCACAAGCTTCCCTCCCCACCCCCACAATGTTTTAAATTAGACTGTGGATAAAAAATCAGACAGAGAATCCCACACTGGGTCATAAATTTTCCTCAGCTTAAGAAAAATAATGATTTTCCAGTGATCTCTTTTGAATTAGGCTGGGTTCTTTAAATTTCAGATCCATTAGTTAGGTCCAATAATGAGAGGGTTCTGAAAAATATTTACTCTGGACAAGGAAAGGCTGTAACAATAAATATGAACCCATTTATAACTAAAAATATAGCAGTGATGAGTAAGGGAGCTCTTAAGAATCTTTTTCAGCAACTATGCTTCATATTTTTTTTTTTTTTAAAAGATATTCTGGTGCTGTGAACTTAAGAGAGAGATAAGCTCTGATATGGTTATTAGCACTTGGTATATTCCCAAACCATTTGTGAAGTTTAGAAATATGGGTTCTCATTTTCACACTGTTGATGGCATTGTAAATTATTACAAACATTATGGGAATCATTATGGAGGTTCCTCAAAACATTAGGCATGGAACCACCATATGACCCAGCTACACCACTTCTTGGTATTTACCCCAAAGAATGTAAGTCATCATACAACAGTGATACGTGCATACCCATGTTTATAGCAGCACAATTCACGTTAGCCAAACTATGAAACCAGCCTAGAATGGATGAATGGATAAAGAAAATGTGGTATGTGTACACATATTTTATTTTATTGAGCCATAACAAAATATGAAATTATGTTATTTGTAGGAAAATGGATAAAACTTGAGACCATTATGTGAAGTGAAATAAGTCAAAATCTAAAGGGGTTGGGAAATATGAAAAACAAAGGGAGATCAATAGAAGAAAGGGATTAGGAGGTAGGAGAAGGCGAGGAAGGTGGGAAATGCTAGGGATTGATATTGGCCAAATTATATTGTTATATTGTGTGCATGTATGAATACATAACAAATCCCATCATTATGTACAGATACAATGCATCAATAAAAAATGTGGGGGAAAAAGGAAATATGGGTCCTCTGAATTAATAAATCAATGACAACAATACTATATCATTTCTGTTTAAAATTTTTCATTATTCAAAAGCTTATTTTAATCTAGCAAGAGAAATAAAAAGTTAGACAAAATTGGGATATACTCTAAGTATGCAAGGCTGCTATAACATTTGAAAATTAATTAATGTAATCTATCACTATTAACAGGTTAAATAAGAAACATCATATGATATTAACAGATACACAAAAAGGGCACATGACAAGAAAATCCATCATCATCCATTCATGATTAAAACTCAATATATTATGACCAGAGGAAACTTTATCAACTTGATAAACCAACAACTGGGAAAACTAGATGCTTTTCCCTTTAGATTGAGAACAAGGCAAGGATGTCTCCTTTCATTATGCCTATTCAATGCTGTACCTGAAGTCCTAGCTAATGTAATAATTCAAGAAATGTACAAGTTATGAGGTGTTCAGATTGAGAAGGAAGAAATGGGACAGTTTTTATTCACAGATAACACAACTATCTTTAGAGGGTATTCCAAAGAATCAACAAAAATAATCATGAAACTAGGGATGACAGCAAGATTCAAAATATAAGGTTACAAAAGTTAACTGACTTCCTATCTACCAGTAATAATTATGTGGAATTTAAAATTAACATATAAATACCATTTACATTAGCATCTATTATAGTTTGTATCTTAAATATCCCCCAAGGCTCATGCATTAAATCCTGAGTCCTCGGCTTGGCACTACTGAGAGGTGGTAGAACCTTTAAGAGATGGAGTCTGGTGGAAGTTTTTCCATTCACTGGATATATTGTGGGCCACAATACTCTTCAAGCTCAATCTCTTCCTCCCTTTCTTTTGTTCCCAGTCATGAGGTAAATGGTTTTGTTCTGCTGTGTGCTCATGCCATAATGTGTTGTCACAGACCCAAAGCAACAGGGCCAATCAGTCAGTCATAGACTGAAATCCCCAAAACTGTGAGCTGAAATTAGCCTTTCTCTTTATAAATAGATTTATCTCAGGTATATTATAGTAACAAAAAGCTGACTAGCATAGTAACAAAGGAAGAGAAATCTTCTCTCTCTCTCTCTATATATATGTATTTGTTAGATTTATATGAGAAAAATGACAAAGCTGATGAAAATAATCAAAGATCTAAAATAAAGATATATTTTTTATTAGAGCATTATAGCTATACATAGTAGGTGGGCTAATTTTGACATCATAGAATTTGATTTTGATCCCCATTCCCCCCACTTTATTTCCCCCTATTCTCTACTCCACTAATCTTCCTTATTTCCCCCCTCCTTTCTGGTACTGACGATTAAACCCAGGGGTGCTCAACCATTGAGCCACATCCCCAGTCTTTTGATATTTTATTTAGAGACAGGGTCTCATTGAATAGCTTAGTGCCTCGCTAAGTTGCTGAACTAGCTTTGAACTCACGATCCTCTTGCCTCAGCCTCCTGAGCAGCTGGGATTACAGGCATGCACCTCTGTGCCTGGCACTAATCTACTTTTGCTTGCTTATTTACTTATTTTTTTTTTTTTTTAATATATATATATTTTTAGTTGTAGAAGGACACAATACATTTATTTATTTATTTTTATGTGGTGCTGAGGATCGAACCCAGGGCCTCACATGTGAGGGGCAGGTGCTCTATCACTGAGCTACAGCCCCAGCCCCTATTTATTTATTGATTGGATGCTTTCTACATAATACACAATGAAGTTCCCTGTGGTACATTTATGTGTGCATATTATGTGATCTTGTTGAATTCAATCTAAATTTCCTCCCCTTTCTTGTCCTTCCTCCTTATCTCCTTTACTCTACTGATATTCCCTATATTTATGATATCCAATCTCCATCCCTGTCCTCACCACCTAAAGAATGTTATTTCACATTTATACTTAGGTCTTGCCCTCTGCTTCCTGATTGCTGCTTTCATCCACCACACCCTTCTGCTAAGATGTTCTATCTCATCTTAGCCCCAATAAATGGAGTTGGCTATCTTTGGACAGAAACCTTTGAAACTCTCAGCACCAAATAAACTTTTTCTCCTCTAAAATTATTCTTGTGAAGTCTTTTTGTCATGGTGTGAAAAAACTGACTAAAACAAACTCTAAATGCAAATGATGGAATTTACTTAATACTAATATATCAATATTGGCTCAATAACTGTAACACTGTTATAACAGGGGAAACTGAGGGTGAGGGTCAAAGAGTATATGGAAACACTCAAGAAAGCTCAGTTTTTCTGTAAACGTTATACTGTTTATAGTAAACTAAAAAATAAAGCTTAGTAATTTCAAAATTTTAAAAATTTATTTACCCAAGTATTGATTTTAATACCAAAAAAACTGAACACTGGGGGAAAAAAAAGACTGCATTTTAATCACCTTACCTTGATTTGTAGTCCTCTGAATAGTTTGGGTTTATCACTTCTGACGAAAGCTGAAAAAAAAAAAAAAAGATTCAAATTCTTCATTTCCAAATCCAAACTGGCTACAGATATCAATATAAAGAGTGGAAATAAACTTAACAAATGAAACTTTATGTCCTACGTTTAAAAAACTATAAAGAAATTTAAACAATGACTTATCCTAAAGAGAAGACTAATATTGAAGACATTGTTAAGTGTTTTAATTACATCCCCACATTCCGATGGAAGTTTTAGAAATTGACAAAATTCTTACATATGTACACTATATTATTATTACATAAGTGTAGCTCAGTTGTAAGAGTAAACATATGAGTCAGGTGCGGTGGTGCATCCCTGTAATCCCAACTACTAGGGAGTCTGAGGCAGGAGTCCAAGTTTGATATCAGCCTAGGAAACTTAATGAGACCCTGTCTCAAAAGAAAAAAGAAAAGAGCTGGGGAGTTAGCTCAGTGGTAGAACACTTTACTAGAACATTTGAGTTAAATACCCATACTGCAAACAGATAAACACAAACAACAAAAAAATAAATATATGAGAGCAGCCAGGGTAGTTTAAAAAATTAAAATATAAAGGAAGAATTTGTTTAGTAATGTACTATGTAACAGTAATACCAGAACATTTTAAACATACAGATTAGGAAATTTAGAGAGAGAAAAATATCTTAAAGAGTTTTTAAAGATGACACAGCTATCAAATTAGAGTGGGGGAGGGAGATATTCAGAACAACAAAAGATTTTAGAATACGAAAGGTTAAAGAGGAAGAGAGAGAGATTTTGGTGGAGGTGAGTTTGGAAGGAAATATAAACAGTACCCTAAGTAGGGTACTCAGCAAAATGAATCAAAACTCTTGAGCAGTGGAGTGCTTGACTACCATATGTGATGCCCTGGGTTTGATCCCTAGTAGTACAAAGAAAAAAAAGAAAGAAATGAAAAAGTTTGTTTCTTATGGTTGTTAAAAACAACAACTACTGGATAAATATTTATCCATAGTTTCATTTCTAAATGAAAAAGGCCAAACTAAACAATATAAAAACAAAAACCAAAAAACGTGCTGTTATTATTTTAAGAGGGTTACACTATTATTTTAATAATACAGAGCTACACTAGGGAGTACAGATTTGGGGAAATTTTAATGTTTCCCTCCATTTTGATTATTGCTAATCTATGTTTTATGAACTTTTCAATAACAATAATTTCTAATTATTCCAATTAAAAAGTTTATAATATTTTTTCTAAAATAAATATATGTTTTATTTAGATACCTCCTCTTTTGTCCCCTTCCTAGTTGTGGGGACTGAGCCCAAGAGCACTTTTCCGCTGAATCATATCCTCAGTAATTTTTGTTTTGAGACAGAATATTATTAAGCTGTGAAGGGTCTCACTAAGTTGCTGAGGCTGACCTTGGCAATCCTCCTGCCTCAGCCTTCCAAATCTCTGGGATTCCAGGCATGCTCTGACATGGCTGACTAGATACCTGCTTAATTCTTAGTAACAGTTCTTGTCATTTAATCTCTTAAGATTTTAAAGTAACACATACTTTTGAGAATAAGAGCATTAGTATTATAGAGGTATTATATTATGAAGGTCTTTACATACTTACATTTAGGAAAACAAAACAAAGATTAGTAAATGATATTTTTTTAAAGGTTCTGAGGACTTGTTGGTAGATAATCAGATATCCCATGTAATTTTCCCTACAAAATTTAGTTCAAAATAAACTATTATTCTGGCTGATTAGTATATCTTCTCTACAAACTTCAGCCTTTAGAATTTGTTCAAAGGCATGTACTTGAATTCCGAAACAAAAGTGATCTCATGATATCCTATTGCATTTTAGACTGACCGAATGGCAAATGCTACGTGACCCCTGTGTAAAACATCACATAACACCACTTTTAAATTTGTGTCAAAACACTTTTTTTTACAATATAAGAAACCTCTCTAGGGTATTTAAAAAAAAAGTGGTTCTTGCCGGTGGCGCACACCTATAATCCCAGCTGTTCGGGAGGCTGAGACTGGAGGATCATGAGTTCAAAGCCAGCCTCAACAATGGCGACATGCTAAGCAACTCAGTGAGATCCTGTCTCTAAATAAAATACAAAATAGGGCTGGGGATGTGGCTCAGTGATTGAATGCCCCTGAGTTCAGTCTCCAGTATCCCACCACCAATAACAAACAAACAAAAGAGCAATTCTTTGCCCAACTAGAGCTTAGCACATTTAATAATTTTTATTCACTCAATAGTTAAAAAAATGTTATTGTAGTTGGACACAATACCTTTGTTTTATTTATTTATTTTTATGTGGTGCTGAGGATCGAACCCATGGCCTTGCACGTACTAGGTGAGTGCTCTACCACCGAGGCACAACCCCAGTCCCCATTCAAGACTTTTAATAAGCTAAAATAAGTGAACTAACTTAAAAGGAATACTGAGTCATTATGATCATCTTCATCAATTCCTTCTTTTCTCTGCTAAACATAGATCCACAGCATCCTAATTTTGAATGTGGGGAATATAGGTTAAGTGCCCTGTAGCAGGCAAATCACATCCTACAGGCAAGTAAACAAATCTTTTCACAAATATTTCAGAACTTCTATACATACGGCATTGGATAGACCATGAGAATATGAAAAAAAAAAAATTTTTTTTGTAGTTGTAGATGGACAGCATGCCTTTATTTTCTGTTTATTTATATGTGGTGCTAAGGATTGAATCCAGTGCCTCACATGTGCCAGGCAAGTGCTCTGCCACTGAGCTTCATCCTCAGCCCAGAATTTTTTAATCTAGAGAAACCTACAGGGTGTGGAAGTGAGGAAGAAACCCATGATTTATTTAAACAGATATGCAAGAATTAAAAAGGATAAAAGGTGATCATAAAAACAACTGCTGAAGACTGGAGATATCCAGTTCATTAGTAAAAAATATTTTCAGAGTATATAAGGCTCTGGGTTCAATCCACTGCAGGGCCTTAGGCATGCTAGGCAAGTATTCTACCACTGAGCTATACCCTCAGTCCAAATGCTGGTAAATTAATGATAGTTAACGAGTAGTCTGAATTTAGAGAAAGGAGGCTTTACCATGTTGGTGCTAAAGAAAGAGGCAACAAAAACGGAACTAGAGAAACTGAAAATGTAAAAATTCACATGAATACAAGATGATGTCCTTTCTCCAACATATCAAAAGAATTTTATCTCTCAGTACTTCAAACAATTATTCCTAAAAATTGATATTTCACAATAGTCAAAATAGCCCCCAGATGTTTTGCTGGAGAAAGTAAACTAAAAATGAATGGTAAAAATGTATGGCAAGAAAGGCAATAGTATCGTTGGATCTCCATCCAGTTAGGAAAAAAATGACAGCTCCTTAAATCCAATACTGCTATCTCCATTTTAATTTTGAATGTAGCAATGTATTTATTTCCAGAGGTAAACATATAGCATGGTATAGTTTGAGGAAAAATTCTCATGATGATTTACAAATCATAAGCAAAGTGACAGTGAATTTTTAAACATTTTACAAAAGATTGGTATTTGAATATGTAATATTGTTATTTGTTGTAATCCTCTAGTTTAATGATCACATATTATAATCAAATTTCATGTGCTACATGAGTTGTTAAATATGCAAATAGTAAATGAAGTCCAGGGAAATAAATATGGGGCTGTGGTACCACTCCAAGAGAGCTAAAATATTAGGAAACATAATCGTCACTATTTATCACCTGAATTCAGTGGATCTTGTTTATACATCTATTTTTAAATGATTTCATAATAATTTTCCAAAAGAAGTAAAGTAAAAGTAAAAAGCAAATCTATTAGAAATTTTAATACGAATTTAAACACAATAAACTCAAGTATTTACTCTGTATTTTTCTGGTTTTGAAGGTAAATATAACAAAATAGGCAATGTGGTTTGACCTCAACTATGTGTTCACGAACTCACATATGAACCTGGAACAAAGCCGTCTTGTAAAATTGATTCCAAAATTCAAATATATTTCTAGTAGGTTCAAGATTTGATATAAAAATATCACATTTCCTTTAAGTCTTCGTTAATATATATTATTTACTGATTTCTGAATGTGAGAAAGTTCATTTAAAATTTTTTTAAAATTTATTTTTATTTTTTAGTTTTATATTTGCAGTGCTGGTGATCAAACCCAGGGCCTCATGCATACTAGATAGGTATTCTACCACTGAGCTGCATCCCTAGCTCACTTATTGAAGATATTATCATATGAAGTTTCATTCATAATCTTGAGACTTTGCTTATATAATTACTTTTATTATTATCATTTATAGTCTGTAGCCGCACTAATAGAACTTTCTTCAATAATGGAAATATTCTATATCTGATTTGTTTTGATGATTACTGAGTATTTGAAATGCGGCTAAGGTGACTCAGGAAATTCTGATTTAATTTAAATGAAATAGTCATGCTGACTAGTGGCTATATAATTGGACAGAAGAAGTCTAAAGTGTCTCTTTGCATTCACATTCTGATCTACTTGATCATTTTGAAATACTTGTGTCAATTTTCTTCTATATCATTATGGCAGATTTTTTTTAAAGTTTTTTTTTTTTTTTTTTTTTTTTTTAAGATGGACATAATATCTTTACTTATTTATTCTTATGTGGTGCTGAGGATTCAACCCAGTGCCTCACATGTATAAGGCAAAATCTCTACTACTGAGCTATAACCTCAGCCCCTATTATGGCAGATTTGAAATCCCCAAATGAGTTAAATAAAAGCTAAAAAAAGAAAGAAAACAAAACAATACAAAACACTACAAAGATGGTATCATAATGTAGGGCACACAATAACAAACTTGAAGAATAATATATATTGATGACTCATTTATTATTCCATCATCATTATTATATCTTGAGTCTTTTTTAGCACAGTTGTAAATAAGAGATGTTTAATGATCTCAAATTCTTAAATATATAAATCAACAGACAACAGAGTTAACTGCAAAACAGAATTTTTATTTTTTAAAAAAATGTATAA